TCCTTTCTTAATGCGTTAGGTCGGCGAAATAACAGGAGGCTTCGTTAACTGGGTAAAGTGACCAAACTCGGCGCACAAGGGCCAGGGTTGGGATTAAAATCTTGAAGGGAAAGTGGAAGATGCCGCGTGCACTTACTTTCCTGAGACTTAAGCTACTCAAAACGGTGCTGGGTACGTCGGTTTTGCCTGTTGTCCGTGAAGAACGAAGATTAACACGCTCCACGACACCCTGTAATCGATATACCTCCCTTTCTCTCGACGAATGTGTTTGTTTATGCCTCGACAGGATGAATCCTGGCCAGCTGGCTTACCCAATGGCGCCCCTAGTTCTTTCAATTTTTCACCAATATCCTGGAAATTATTTATGCGGATCTGCGTCACCTTTAATACCTGAGCAGTGATTATTAAAAGATACCGCACGCGGTCTTCTTTCGACAATGGTTCTTCTTTTCTTCTTCGACATTCTATTGCTGTTCCTTCTTCTAATTTTAAATTTTTATTACGTTACTTTTTATTATCAATATTTGAAGATTTTTTATTTTGTTAACATAGAGAAATACAATGGATTTCAAATTAAAAAAAAAAAAAAAAATAAGATCATCGATTATTGATCGACAAGAAAAGTAAAATATGGAAATGAAAATTTGAATATTGATGGACTTATATGGAGTTATATGAAGTTCTATCAATGAAGTAACGAAGTATCTAGCATGCAGGATTTATACAGGTTTTTGAATAGTTCGAGAGCGTGTGATTCCGGGAAGGTTGAAGGGCCAGTCTGGTTTTCGAGAATCGCGTCTGTCTCCATCGTCGTCGGCATCCTTAGCAAGGCGCCAACTTATCTCGACGAAGCGGCGCCCTTTTAGCCGATTCTTCAAACTAATTACGAATTTAATAAAATTCTACCGGCTGTACGTTGTCCGAATGAAGGGAATGTTTTCTTTCTAGCGATAAAAAAGCGGGAATCTCCACCAGCTTTGCGTGATATATTTTCTAAATATATCGACGACCTGTAACTTTTTTTCAAAAAATGCAATATAATACCCAAGAATATATTCTTCCATTCTTTTAAACTTACTTATTTTATCTCTAATTTAATAATTTTTGTTCACAGGTTGTTTTGACTTCTATGCACAAATATATTCCGCGAATTTGGATCATTCGTTGCGACGATGCGACCAGAATCAGCGATCTTTACAGTCAACCAGCCTCATCCTTTATGTTTCGTGAAACCGAGTTCATTGCCGTAACCGCTTATCAGGTACCAATCATGTATCAAAAAATAACTTCAAAATTAAAAAAGAATTTGTGTATAAATTAATTCGTAAATATACAATCTCGTATATTTATAATTTCAGAACGAAAACATTACCAAGTTGAAAATCAACAACAATAAATTCGCGAAGGGATTCCGGGATAATGGTCAATCTCGATGCAAGAGAAAGTTTCAGGCGGAAGCGGAGAGATTGAATCGCATCAACGACGAGGATGAGACCGTGTTTCCGGAATCTGAATCGACGAATAGAGCGTCGAATCATCTGGATGTGGCCAATCAAAGGCCGAGAACAGCCTCCAGCGAAACAGGAAGTTTGGACGACAGCGGGATTAGTAGTTGTGGAGGAGTCAGTCCACCCCTTCTCTTATCCGGAAACAGAAATTCACCGACGAAGGACGTCGATCGAGAGGCGCAACCAAGATTGCACAGGCCATGGGTCGATTCTTCTCCACAATTTTCGTCGCCCACGATTTCGTCCACCTCATCGTTCAACTTGTCGCCTAGATTCTACGATTTCAATTTTCCCATGTATTATTTTAGCCTGTTTTACCCCTCCTTGGTGATGAATCCAGACTCGCGAAGTTATCGTACCAATGGATGAAACAATTTACGAAATTTCATCGACAAAATAGATGATATATGTGGTCCGATACAGATTTGTTCGATGCGTGAAATAACTTATTTATAAGATGAAAAAAAGTACGCTAAAAGGATTTTTCCATTGCGTGTATCGAATCTCGTATCGATGAACCAAAGATTTCTTGAAATTAGAAACAGTGGAGAATGAAGTTTATATAACAAGACATGTTGTTCGATTTAGTTGTATCATCAGTCATGAGCGAATAAAATAGAACTGGAATTTCGAAAGAATATATATATACTGTACAGATTGTAAAAAGAAAAAATGAAAAGAATGTCTTTCTTCTTATAAGTGATAAGATATATTTAAAATTTCACTTATATTCTTAGTAAATCGTTAATAGAGGACCAAAGATTTAAACAAATTCTTGACTACATTAAAAGTTTTTTATACTCGATGCATCGAATTTTTGTAATGAAATAAGAATAATGAAATCTTCATGAAGTATTAAATGATTTAATTGAACAATATATAATTGAATAATATAATTGAAGAATATATTTTTTGAATGGAAACAAGTGAAATAAGCGAATATACGAGCGCCTAATTAAATATAAAAATGAATGTAAATAAGTACAATCTAGTGCCTTATGAAAAGAATAAATGAATAATTATTATAAATATAATTATTATTATTAAGAATACGTGATTTCTGGAATATGCCGCTTCTGAAAATGTAACGAGCATATGAAAAAATGGGAATCTGACAGTATTACAAACGCTGTATTATTCTTTACATAATTGTCAATCAAAGAAAAGCATTTATTTGCATATTTTTACTTATTCACTCTGTACATTATGCTAGTTCGAATACCAAAATATTTTTATCGATAATTTTGCTACTTAAGATAGATTTAAATCCAATTGATATAATTTTTTACTCGTTATCATTATAATAAAATATCTTTTATACGAAGATGTAACGTAACATTTTATTATTCATTAATCGTTTCCAGTTTTTACTTAAAAAATTACTTGTTATTTGAAATATAATTCTAAATAACACCTTGAATAACCTCCATTAAACATATATATTGATTAAATTTATATGGAAGTATATTGATATATTCTATTTTATCTTCAAATCAAATCTTAAATACCTACCTGTGAATTTATAATGAAAATTAACTTGACAAATGTCTTGTCGTACTTCATTTACATACATTAATTCTGAAATAAATTAACTTTTTCATTGAGAAAAAGAAATGCTTGGGATCGTTAAATCGGGGAATTTATTTCCCGAAGATAGCCTTGAAACAAGATCAATGTTTTTCATCGTGTAATGCGGAAGATCTTTGGGATACATTGATAACCGAGTTATTAAACAAATTTCAAAAACCACTGTCCTCAAGAGGAAGTATCTGTAGAGACACGAGTTCTTGTTGTCGAGGATCGTGTCGCGTCTATGTGTCGCCTTTCCAAGGATCTTGGCAACTTCTGGTATCGATGTCTCCCGAAACACTTTTGGAACAGCGGGGCGCCGGTTCGTCGGCTACTCGATGATGTCTGGATTTGTCGACGAGCTTCCGTGCAATAACTTCTTTCAATATTCATCCTATTTTTTTTCATTTAAGTTCTCGGAGAAATTGCTTGTACATTGTAATGTCTCTGAACCACTGCACTTGTGCATCGGACAAATCGTGAGAATGCAAAGCACTTGAATAACACTTGCAATGACGAAATCGGTCGGAAGTCTAGAAGAACGGAAACAGATGGTTCGTTGAATTTTCTGGATCTGGATTCTTTTTTAAATGCTTGTTTTTATTATAACAATTAAAATATTGGATATTATACTAAAGAATCAAGGGAGTGAAAATATTCAGCTTTGTGTTTTATTTATTTCTCACATACGTTACATTAGATATCGTACAATGAATAAGTACATATTAATTTCTTATAAAGAAAGATCGTTATTCACCACATTATTCTTGAATCTTTTAATAAAAATCATTCTAAGAATAAGATACTAATTTAAAAACGATAAAAAAAAAAGATCTTTAAACTAAAGTTATACGAAGAATTTCCCAATATAACAATAAAACAATTAGAATGAAAAGAAGCAAACTCTGTTAATAAAATATAAAATAAATAACAAAAAATTCAAAAAGGTAAGAAAATGAACACATTTTTCATTAATAATTTCTTCTAACAATGTTTCTTAATTTGCAGATGTGTAATGTTGGAAGATCTCGAAACTGCTGTTTCTTTTTCGCAATCAATTAGAAGCAACAAATTAAAACGTTATGCAACTTTATCAAAGAAATTGGTTATCATTACACGAACATTACACGAACGTGCAAATCATTGGAACAATCAGTTGCACAATGGCGCTTCGCAAGGAAAGATTGACAAAACAGTTGTCCGCACGGTGGACATTGTCATGAATACATTTATAGGAGGTTCAGTGGAGCGGTTAACGGGATTGATAGGTCGGTAGATCACGAACGCAAGATTTTTCCGGGTGGTATGTACCGCGGCTGAATACGCAATCATGTTCCGGAATTGGACTACACGCGTCGCGATACCGTACGAAGATCCACTTGTCCTCGGACACCTGTATGTTTAAGCAACGAGGAATGCCATTCACACACACTTTTTTTAAATATTAATTAATTCATAGTACAAACGACGTGCTATGTGTATCCTTTAACCGTGAGTGGTTAATCATTTTCCATTTGGATAAATACCGAGCGTTTTGTGTTAAGTGGTATTCCTAATTGTTCCTAATTATTATAAAACTATTGTACATATTTTTTTGATTTGTTTAGCTAACGAGTTTACATTCTGATTGTTTTAATAATGATAACGTTATAAAACGATATAAACACGTTTCTCTGCTCACTAATGACAAATTCAAATTTCTTAACATTCTTTCTTTATATTCTTTATAAAATTTGATACGAAAAATTGTTCGAATATTTTTATACAAAACGAGAAAATATCGATCTATGAATACCGTTCATTAATAATTTACATTAATTCTTGTTACGAGAGTCGTCTTATTCTATTATGTTTTATGTGTTTTATGTACAGTCTTGAATTATATTCCTTTTACAATAACTTACAATAACTTTCTCGTTGTCACTAGAACGTGACAGGTTTGTCCTCCGGTATGCAACATCTCTCGTCACCACGCCCGTTCCTATACTTAGGACAGTAAGGTGGATACTTGCTGGTGAAGCAAAAAGAGCCCCTGGTTCCGACCGGTGTATGCTGCCCCATGGTCACATATTCACCGGCTCTGAGAGCGATCCTCGGCCCGGAAGGACACCTCCTCGTGCACGGCTCGGCCATCGAATCCTGGCCCCCATTGTCGATGCTTTCTGCCATGTAACAAACGACCCAGACGTGACTGCACAGTTGATAATTCGGCTTGTTCTCGCAGAATGGTTGCACTTTTCCACCGTTCACGCAAAAATCCACGTGCCCCATGCGCCCACCCTCCCCGTAATATCCGGCGTTCGTGTGGATCACTTGGACGAAGTCCGCGTCACCGCTGTCCAACCGATTTACGTATCCGGGACGTACGAGGGGTCTGGCCGGGTCTAAACCGATTATTCTGTGCATCCTGAACAGTAGAAAGTTCGCCATAATCCCGCAGATATGGGCGCCTAACGAATGACCCACGCAGGTTGTCCTCGAGATGGGTAGACCCAGGTTTCGTAAGGTGGTCAGGCTGGCTGCTAGGCAACGAGCAACTGGACGAAGGTTGGATACGGCTGCCGGGTAACAGGGTGAGGCGCAAAGGGCACCCCAATCTACCAGGAATACGTTGTAGCTGCCGTTTCGGATGTAGGCGTCGCGAAGAACGGATATAGGGAGGGTATCGTCACCACCTGAAGAAAGAAGAAAAACGAAGTTTCGTCAATAGTTTGTAATGGATGTTCATGCAAATTCAAATGTTCAATTAAAGGGAGATGGAACATAAGATTTGATTCATCCCTTAATAATAATAGTTTAGACATAGGCAAAACGATCTTCTTTCTTCCGTTACTGGACTGAAGTGTATCAAGTAAAAACGAATATTCATGCACCTGCATATCCGTGTATAAGAAGAACATTTTCTTTCGTTGGATCATAATCCTGACGCAGCCAATCGGACTCCCTCGAGTCGAGTTCTCGCTTCGGTCTATCATTCGTGTAAAGATAGATTCGAACGTCCGGATCGGGGCACGAGTCTTTGTCATTCCCTCGTTTCCAGATGCAATTTTCCTTGTTGTATCGCGCCGCGACACCATTCTGAATGGCTTCTTGGATCGGACCCTGTGGTTCCCTGTTGATACCAAAAACTCCGAGGAACAGTGCGGTGAACAAGAACATTTGCGTGGACACGAGCATCTCGCGACAGAAGAGTTTCGCCGTAACCGTGGCGATATAAGAACTGATCGTGTGCACGGTGATTCTTCGAGTGTCGTAGTCTTCGCCCAACTCCCACCATTTTCACCTATCGATGCTCGTTACACAATTAGGGGACTCATAGATGATTGGGAGGAAAGGTGAACGAGTTCGAAGCTACGTATCATCGATTATGAGCGAAGGAAAAAACGATAAATGGGGACAAGGTTTTAAAATCGAAATTATTTATAGTTATGATTCGTATGGTATTTTTGATACGAAGATGAATTGTTGATAAATATTATATAGATTATTTTCTGTTAAGTGGATTTTGAAAATAATTTTTACTTTGTGAAGTTACAAGATGTTTTGAACATTAACATTAATTTCTATTTTAATTGTTTATACAATGTTCCACATCTCTCTCTTTGAGCTAATAACATTTCCGAGAATTTAGGAAGATACATATATATATAGTGTTATTACCTTTACATATATATACATGTACACATATGTATGTGTTTCATGGAAAGTTGCGAAAGTGCATCAAGATGCCTCTAGAAACTCTGATGAGTGAAAATTTGGCACCCAACTTGTATCGAAATCACCGGTATTATTCTTTTGTTTATCAATAACAGAGACTAATTGAAACTCAAACAGAGATACAGGGAATGCTTTCTTTTTTTCTTGTGAAATGTTTCTCTTAAATCCATGTAATATTGACAATGAAGAAAAAAAATGAAAGTACATCGAGTTATAATCATATATGCAAATTAGGACATTGGCAGAAAGCGTGGAAAATGTACTATAAATTTAATAAGACGGAGTTTTGTTAATTATATACAGGGATATATCTTAAAAATTTACAAATATCGATTAACTGAAGATTCTTAACGGATTTCAAGCAACATTTTCCTATGCAAAAACTTTTTTTAAAGCTTTAACGAGTTATTGACAAAAAACGCTGGCCAATCATACAAACGCATAACTAGTCAAGTAGTGTTGGGTATATACTGTTGGCCGAATACAAACAAGTCTAAGCAACATGTTGAAAAAAGATTGTAAAATATAATAAATATTTTTTTATCGAGAGAAGGATGATCGAAAGGAAAGAAAAGATTATAATGGTTATAAAGAAGAAAAGGACGAGGAGGATAAAAGAGAAGAGGAAGAAGAAAATGATAAAGAATAGGAGGAAAGGAGAATAATAAAAAAGAAAAGAAGAGGAAACTAATAAAAGAAAAGAGGAAGAGGAAGATGATAAGAGAAAAAAAACAAAGGGATAAAGAAGACGAAGGAGAATGATGATAAATAAGAGTCGAAAAGAAAGATGATAGAGGAAAGAAAAAAGAGAAAAATAATAAAGAAGAGAAGAAAGAAACAGGATGATCAAAGAAGAAGGAAAAAGAAAGATGATAGGGGTGAGGAATTTTATTGAATGTCCTATATCAATAGCAATTAATTAGTTAATTGATACTCCTACATTTTTGGAACATAATCTATTATGTATAATTTATTACACTATAATAATATTATGAATAGTAATTAGTAAATGCTTCATTGAATATAAAATATTGACAAAAAGTATGGAAAATTGATGTTAAAATGACGTTCAATTAAAATAGTTCATGGTTCGTTAGAGTTTTTTACTTCCGCATATTCTTAATCCTTATGCAAGAAATATTATTATTCTCATATTATTCTTAAGAAAGAGTGCGTTGTTTGAAAAATTTAAGACTGATTCTAACGAAAATAATTAATTTTAAATTACTATATTATATTACTTATTTAAAAGGAAAAAATTTTATTATTAGAAATAAAAAAATAATATCCTTTGTTAGCATGTTATTGGAAGTGAAGAAATGAAATTATTCTTTTAGAAATATAATAAAAATTTATATATATAAAAATTTTATAAGAAATACAAATTTTCATTTTTAAATAAAAATATATAAAAAATACTTTATAAAACATATAATATAAAAATTTTTCAATTATTTAAAATATTCAAATTATTTTTTCAATTATTTAAAAAATCAAATAGTATTTAAACGACAAAATTGATATACAGAGGATATATTTAAAGAGAAAGTTCTTAATTCTGTTCATATGTAAGCGAAGTGAAAGTATTAAAAATTTTGAGAAATTCTCATAATCTATTTATTTTTTCAAAGTATCTTAGTTTAACCTCATTTTGTATATTACATACTCATAGCTTTATCTTATATTAATATTTAATAATATACTCATTGCCTCATTCTATTTTCACGAATGTAAAATATTATGTCATTAAAATATAAAAATATATATAAAATATATACAATATTATAAAAATTCAAAAATTCAAAATTATATAAAAATTCAAAAATCTATATATATATATATATCCTAAAAATCTTGTTCCAAAAGTGTAGAAATACTGATTAATTAGAGATTCCTGAGATAATTTCAACATTTTCCTTTTCTTACGAATATTAATAAAAAATATTCATCACGCATAGAACTACTCAAACTGCAACAATAGTATCAAACAAGTCTAAATAATATGTTAAAGAAAATATATTTTTAATAAATATTTTCGAAAACAAAATTCAATTATCAAGAATAATAAAATTAATTGTATAAATTCATATAAAACATTTGTATAGAATTTCTTTCCTTTTTTATAATCTCTTCTTTCTCATCTCCTTTATCATCCTCTTCTTCCTCTCTATCTTTATCGTCTTTTTTCCCATCTTTATCACTTTTTCTTCTTTTTTCCTTTCTCTGAATATATATATTATTTATCATTCATTTATTAAAAATTATTTCTTTCATTTTTTCATGTTATAATTTTTCAAGATTTATTATTTATTTTGAATGACGAATATTGATTTATTTGTCCTATATGTATAATAATTAATTATTATTAATTAGTTTATTTATTGTTTCTGAATAAAATGTAACTCGATATAATTTTTGTTTGATAAAAAAATATTTGTTATATTCAACAAACTTTCTTTGATATATGTTGTTTGGACTAGTATTTAGCTGTTAGCATATATTTAACGTTATTATTTTAACCACGACTTGATTAATCTGTTTGTTCTATAATTGATCAATATTTTTTATTAATAATTCGTTAACAAAATTGTAACCGAAGTTTTTGCAAAGGAAAATATTGTTTGAAGTTACTCAGAAATTTCTACTTACTCGAGTTCTCATATTTTTCAGACACTGTATATATACTTGAGTTATATAAAAATTAGAATGAATTCTATTAAGATTTTTAATCAATAAATTGAATATGATGCAATAACGTTAATAGAAATCGGCATCAACACAAGAATTAATAAAATAAATATAAATAAGGAAAGCAAATAGTGCAAGAAGGATGAAAATAGAAAAAATATTAAAATTAGCGCCATCTTTAAAGTGCTATAAATGAAACATACATAAAAAAGACAGAAGATATTAAGAGAAAGATAGAGATAATATAAGAATTAATCAATGCTAATTTCTTGAGTATTAAAGTTATCTCTTTGGTGAGACAAGGACAGAGATAGGATAAAAATATTGAAATCAGCGCCATCTTCAGAATGCCGCAAATGAAACATACGTAAAAAGGACAGAAGATATTGAGAAAAGGATAGAGATAATATAAGAATTAACAGTCAGCGCCATCTCTCGAGTATCAAAGTTATTTCTTTGGTAAGACAAGGACAGAGATAGGGTAAAAATATTGAAATCAGCGCCATCTTCAGAGTGCCGCAAATGAAACACATATAAAAAGGACAGAAAATAATTAGACAAGGATAGAGATAAGGCAAGACTTGACTACTAGCGCCATCTCTCGAGTATTAAAAACATCTCTTCAAAAGAAATGTTCTTGACATTCGAAAGATGGCATTGTATCTTAATTCCTACTCTACCTTATCCTATATATGAAGAGATGACTATCAGCGCCATCTCTTGAATGTCGAGAATATCTCTTTGGAAGAAATGTTCTTAATACTCAAGAGATGGCGCTGGCAGTCAATTCTTCATTATATTATAAGGTAGAATAGGAATTAAGATGTAGTGCCATCTCTTGAATATCAAGAACATTTCTTTGGAAAAAATATTTTTAACACTCAAAAGATGGCGTTGACAGTCAACTCTTCATTATATGATAAGGAAAAATAGGAATTAAGATGTAGTGCCATCTCTTGAATATCAAGAACATCTCTTTGGAAAAAATATTTTTAACACTCAAGAGATGGCGCTGACAGTCAACTCTTTATATAGGATAAGGTAGAATAGAAATTAAGATGTTGTGCCATCTTTCGAATGTCAAGAATATCTTTTCTTGAAGAAATGTTTTTAACACTCAAGAGATGGCGCTAGTAATCAAGTCTTACCCTATCTCTATCCTTTTCTAATCATTTTCTGTCCTTTTTATATGTGTTTCATTTGCGGCACTCTGAAGATGGCGCTGATTTCAATATTTTTACCCTATCTCTGTCCTTGTCTCACCAATTACTATTACAAATTCAACGCGTTTAAAAATTACTGATACTATCTTTATTATTATTTTATTTAACTTTATTATTATTTATAACTTTATTATTTTTATTATTTTTTTTATTTATTTGAGAAACAAGATAACAAAAAACAAGATAAACGTGACATATAATATAGCAATTTTATTATATGTATAATATATATATAATATAATTATTACAGTATGAATTATATTTCTAAAAAAAATTTCAATTACTATTAATAATTATAAATTTCAATTATTATTTGATTAAAAATCAAATAATAAAAATTGTCGAATATTTTACTACGGTTGTAATATAAAATTTATCTCGATAAAATTTCCTCATCGATTCAACAATATTTCAGATCCCCGAGAACAAGACCAAATATTCATCATCCTCTTTTGACTCGTCCAGGCAAGAACCTTTGGAAGTCGGCCCGGATATTTTGCAAAATTGCGATAAAAGGCTGCCGCAATCTCCAAACATTACATTATATTC